TTCTCCGGAAGTAGCCAAGGCTTGCCTTAAACACACAAGCCTCCTTCATCTTCTCCCAAGATCTGAGATGGTGATCCAAGATCCAAGATTCCCATGCCTTGCTGAGTTAGACTTTTGTTCTGGGATACAGGCACATCTTCAAGTGTGGCCTAGTGTGAGACCAGGCCAACCTCAGCTGGAGACCCTGTTTATTAGGTCTCGCCATCTTTGCAAAGAATCCCTTTCGCCATCCCACAGAAAGTTGGCTGTACCAACTACATTTTTATAAAACAGCTTAATTTATCTAATAGCAAAAATGAACTCCCGCTTTAGAGTCTATAGAGAGCTGCCATTTTCTGTGAGCCTCAAAACACAGTTGGAAGCTGTATAAATCTGTGTCTCCTGGTTAAAACCCTAATTATTGCTCCTTAGATGATATGTCTCCAGTGAGTAACATGGATATGGGGATATTCAAAAGAGTGGTTTGTAATTACAAATAAACTCAAACAAAGCTGTTGCTGCTGGAGAGAGGAATTAAAAAGGCACAATGTCCATTCTTGGCTGTTAGCTTAAATATATCTAGAATTAACTAAAACCCAAGTCACTGGGTACACCTGTTAGGAATTTATTTCTTACTTAAGACATTTGAATTGGAAAGATCTACCTTTAATCCAGATCCTTTGAGGTGGGAAGAGCAAACTTTAATCTGGGCCACACCTTTTGTTGGCAGCCTATTTAAAGGACATGCTTTCTCTTTGCTTGTTTGCTCTCCCTAGCAATTTTATTCTTTCACTGACATATGAGTCTACTTCTTCAGGATCCTGGCATATATCAAAGATGATCAGAGACATCCAGACTCATTAACTGAATAATTACTAGATTCATGAACCTTTTGTTGGTAGACAGCCATTGTTGGACTAGCTGGACCACAGCCTATACGCCATTCTAATAAATCCCATGTATATTTGTTGTTTAAATTCTGTCACTCTAGAGAACCTGAGTGATAGAGAAGGAAAGAGGAAGACACCACAGTGAAGATCTCACTATACAGAAAAGTTCTCCAGGGAGACAGCCATTGGAAGGCCACCTGTGTTGTCTCTGTCTGGACAGGTGTCCCATGTCTATCCTTCCTGGGAAATGAACATTCCTGTATGGTTGAGAGCTCAGAGCACCCCATTCCCATTGCTGTCTACTTCCATTGCAGATGCAAGTCCTGTGCCAAAGGGGAGCTGGTTCCCACATTCACATTCTCTGTTCCTACAGACAAAGCCAGTGAGCCTTTGTCCTTGTGCTCCATGGGAGGGTTCTGTCCTCCCTGTCCTCCCAATTTTGAAGTCATTGGTTCAACACTTTGGACTTTGGTGGATTCCTATGACCTGCTGTCCCTTCTCTGAAAGGATGACTCCTTTGCTCAAGACTCCCCAGGAGTAGAGTGTCACAACACACATCTAGAGGCTTTTTCTCCTCGTTGATTAGAATTTCCTCCATCAGATTGGCCTGTAGACACATTTGTGGGGGCTTTCCCTGATTAATGAATGATGTGGGAAGGCCCAGCCTACTGTGGGCAGTGTTGCCCCTAGGTCGTTGAGATGGTCTTGGGTTGTATAACAAATTAGCTGAGTAAATCATGAGTAACAAACCAGTAAGCGTTATTAATCTATGGTCTCTGCTTCAGGCCTGGCTCGGGTTCTTGCAATGACTTCTCTTGGTAGAAAGCAAAAGCAGCAGTGGAGTAGTGTAGGTAGACGCAGATGGATCTAGGCCAGGCCAGCCTGCACTACAGAGCAAGTTGAAGGCTAGCTGGGAATCAATCTGAGCTGGTGTGTGTGTGTGTGTGTGTGTGTGTGTGTGTGTGTGTGTGTTTAAATAAAGTACTTACCTGAGTTTAGATAGGATGTGATGGGGAATGTACTGTGTATGTTCATCTTATTGATTATTGAATAAAGTTCTTGTTTGGCCAATGAGACAGCAAGTTACAAGGGACTAGGAGTCAAAGAGGATTCTGGGAAATGTAGTAGAGAAGTGGTGATCCAGGCAGGAAGCGACATAGCAAGGAGGCTCATATTTAAACAAGGAGAAACAGGAAGTGTCCCTTTTTTCCCCTTCGTATCCTCCAGCGGCGGGATGTGAGCCACGGGCAAGAGAGGGTGCCAGCGAAAGGCATCCTCTATAAGTCTTATAAAATATATAGATTTATGATAATTAAGACGGAGCTAAAAGATGAGAAATCCTAGCCATTGGCCAAGCAGCATTTGAACCTAATACAAGCTTCTGTGTATTAATTTGGGCCCTAACTCGGGTGGGTGGCTGGCGTAAAGCGCACACATGGCAGTGGGGCTCAGCGGCTTTGGCGGAAAGATTTATCGTAACAATGATGAGCTTTAAATACCCGAAAAATGACAACATAGCTTTAGGGGCCTTTTGAAAAGGCCATTACAGCATCCTGCACATTCAGTAACACATTTATTAGTGTAAATATCAGTGTCACACAGAATGAAGCATAACAATTGTTATAACAATTATTGTAGGTGGAAAGAGTTTCTGTTAAGGTTTGGGTGGTGTGGAATGTCCCTGTCATCTCATGTGTTTGAACACTCTGCAGTAGGTTTTGTTTGGAAAGCTATGATCTCGGGATATGTGGCATAGCTGTAAGAACAGGATCACCTTACAGGAGGAGGTGACTGCCAAAGCTGAGTGGCCAACCGCCTCCTGGACCCCTGCTATGGTCACCATTTACTTTCACAGCCTTGACTTTCCCACTCCCACACCACCACACGTATGCATTGTCAATTTCGGATGCCACCTCCTATTTCCTGGAAACAGGTAAAGTATAAAATTCAGCTCTACACTATGGAAAAGTGTAGGTATTTGGGCTTTGTTGTGGCCCATTAGGAGAAATACACTTCCTCCTAGTCTAAAGACAGTTTTCTCTCTGGCCCTGCTGAGTCCTGTCATTGGTAATGCTCAAAATGTTGCAGCCTATTCTCCCATCCTTTTAATAAAAGTGAATGCATCCTGGGCCTGTAGAAAATCGGGCCTTGGCTTGGAGCCATGGGAGGTGGCTAAACTGAAGAAGTTGGGAGGAATAGACGTGTCCCTAATGGGAGTCATGCTTCCAAAAGACCCTCCTCAAGACTGATGCTAGCAGCTTTCCCCATGTAGCACCACAGAGCCTGCTCAGTTTTTCAGTCCTATCTCAGAAAAGTAATTCTCCCTTCTGATTGTTTCTTTGCAGTACCAGTCACAGCTCTGAGATGTATTCCTGTGCACTCTGGAACTTCTCTGACATTCTCTAAAGCCTCTACACCCAGTTCTTCCACACAGCTAGCTTGCTAGACTCCACCGCAACAGGAATGGCTTTTCCCCATCCTCTTCCACGTCTTCTTGCTAGCATCTGCTTTTCTGTTTGTCTCTCAAACTGAAATCAAGTTGTGTAGGACCCTCTTTCAAGTCTTACTAAATTATTTCATTCATTAGACTAACCCAAGAAAAGGAACCCCACCACTCTAAGAACCCCCTCATAGCATGAGCCTAAATAAAACCCTTCCTCCCCTAAAGGGCTTATTGCCAGGGCATTGGTCTCAATAAAATGAAAAGTGACATATAGAGATAGACCCATGGAGCCAAAATGTGAGAAAAGCTACTGAGGGATGTGCCAACTCTGATTGGTCCACTGATGCTCTGATCTCACAAGGAGTCATTGTGAGGAATGACAGACAGCTGTCTCTATAATGTGCTGCCTGGGGCTGGTTTGGGTCCTTCTGTGCAGAGCTGTTTGGTGGTAATCTGTAGGACCTGGAGATTGGTGGTTGGTTGGACTTGGGTGGTGGTTGGTGGTTGGTGGTTGGATTGGATTTGAATGTTGGTGACTGCTTGGACTTCGACATCTACCATCTGCTACACTCTAGCATAGTTCTTTCCTGCTGTTTCATTTGCACAAGCTCAGAGGTTTGGGTTTTTATTGATGTGAACTGACACATTTGTGTGCTTTGCTTTCAGCCTTTGTCTTATTTTATTTTTCTTCATGGCCTAACAATCATACACATTCATTTTGTTTATTTATTTTCTTGATATTTTTGGTTTTAGACACTTGGTTTCTTCTCTCTGTAGCCCTGGCCATTCTGGAACTCACTCTGAGACTGGCCTGCCTCTGCCTCTTGAGTGCTGAGATTAAAGACCTGTGCCAACACTGCCTGGATAATATCCTTTTTCTTTGCCTAATGTATTTTCCTTTGTCACTCTAAAATTGTGACTCACTTCTTCTTTTCAACTTGACCTTAGTATGCATTAATTGTACAAAGGCACTTCGCTGACATTTTGCACACATGCACTTTGATCGTGTAAGCCTGCTCCATTCTGCTACTCCTACCCCATGCCTCCTTTTATCATCCAGGTGCCTCACAGCTCCCCTTCCATCCCAGCCCCAAACCCACCCAGATCCTGCATAATATAATGGGGAAAGCTTGTGATATTACATGTAACACAGTAGCCTCCAAATTACAAATTGGAGGTAACAATTTGTTACCTCCATTTCCAGAAAATAACAAATATTCATTCTTCTTCACAGGCAGTATGTAATTCTTGCCCCTAATCCTATTTGTATACTGCCAGTTTTTCAGTTGGAGCATGTGGCATCCCACGTATTCCTGGGTAAACCTATCTTGACGCTCAGCTGTGGCCTTTAACTCGGCGTCTTCCCCTCCTGATGGGTTCCTTAGTCAAGACAATCAGCGTTTTGTCCTTTGAAATGGGGATCCTTGTTCTCCTGACTTTTTTGTTTTTCTTTTTCCTTTTCTTTCCTTGCTGCTCTGATCCTTCATTTTTTTTTCCCATCCACTGTGTTTTCCTGTGCCCATGAGGCATATCCTGTATCTTGGGGGTGTCTCTGATGGCTAATCTTAGAATTTATAGTGGGGACAAGACTTACTAGAAGGGATTTACTTTCTTCTCTCTGCCATCTTTACTTGTTGCTACCGGTCACTTCTACTAGGAGAAGCTAGAAGAAGCAAGGTGCAATGACGATGACAAGAAAGCTCACAACCAGTTCCTTTGAAGGACTCACCCTGGCCAAGGATTATTATATCATGGGCACCCTAGGTGAAGGGGCCTTGGGAAAAGTCAAAGTGGCTCTCCACCTTGTGACCCAGACTCTGGTTGCCATCAAAATACTGAAAAGGGGCACGAGTTCAGAACCCCTGATCAGCTGTGAGATTGAGCTCCTGAAAACAATACATCATCCTCACATAGTACAGCTGCTTCAGATCATCGAGACCAAACAGAAAACCTACCTGGTGATGGAATGTGCCTCCCGGGGACCCCTGCTGAAACATGTCACTCAGTGTGGACATCTGGGCGAGGAGGAGGCACGTACTCTATTCCAGGAACTGACTTCAGCCATCAAATATATCCACAGTCACAATATTGTCCACAGAGACATCAAGTCTGAGAACATCCTACTGGATTCAGAGGGGCACATCAAACTCAGTGATTTTGGTCTGGGGAAAAGATTGACCGCTGGGGAAAAGGTCAAGGGCTTCTGGGGCACGACGGAATATTGTGCCCCTGAGGTGTTCGGTGACACAGAATATGAAGGGCTTCCCACTGACATTTGGAGCCTTGGAGTGGTTCTCTACCTTCTGGTGACCGGATATCTCCCATTCAAAGAGATTGATCACTCCAAGATAAAGTCACAGATTCTATCCCGAAACTGTTGGATACCGACTCACCTCTCGCCAGAGCTTCAAGACCTACTGAACCGATTAATGTCAGTGGATCCCACACAGAGGCCCCTCATCGAGGAAGTTGTGGCACACCCGTGGCTGCGCCATGAGGAAGACTCACTGACTCCCTTGACAGAAATCCCGAGAGAACCAGACCCCAACCTTGCTTTCCAGATGTTTTCAATGGGATACAAAATTCAAGATATCAAAGATGCCTTGAATCAAAAAGAATATACACGTGTCATGGCAACCTATTTAATTCTTCAAAAGAAGCAAAGGCAGCAGAGAACTGACCATGATGGAGGGCAGGATGATACAATGGCACCTGAAAAAATTCCCAACCTTCCTCTGCCTCTAAGGAGGGTGTCGAGTGCCCCTAGCCTTCCTACCTCCACTTTGTCCTCTCTCCCTGAGCTGACTGGAGATGAGAAGAAAGGATGGAGGACACACAGTGAGCCTACCACCTTTTCCTCTCTCAAGAAGTCTCTCCGGAAAAAACACTCCCCCAAGCATGACTCTACGTCTCGCCTCAGAGTGACGACATACAGAGAGATTGAGTCCATGTCTTCATCAGTAACAATATCCTCTATGTCCATGTTCTCAAACTATGTCAGCACCCAAAATGTGAGCACTGAGAGCTTTAGGACAACAGACACGGGTATGACCACATTCTCCCAAGAGTTCACATCCAGGAGCTCCTTTTCCAGTGAGCAAGCCCAGGGAGAGAGTGAAGACCCTCCAAAGCACCTCCAAGAGTGGAACCAGAATGTGCCCAGAGTACCACGGAGACAGCGGGGCAGGAAAAGCCTGAAGAAGAGGATTTCCCGAGCCTTATGCAGCTTGTGTTGCTGCCCCCAAATGACAAAGAGACAACACTTGGGCAAGATCAAAATCATGGCAGCCAACGAGGAGGCTCATGGAGACAAAGATACAGGCTAAAAGAAGTAGGTGGGACAGCAATGATACCTTTCTCCAGTCCGTTCCTCCTCCTTTAACATAGCCCTAGCATACACATTTAGTGGGTTGGTGACCTGTGTCTATCATCCCAGAGGGAAAATCCCATTCTGCCCTCCCTCCTAGTAGAAGTCCTCATAACTTGACCTAGATGTAGGCAGACAGTAGAGGATAGTAGCCCGAGGCTGGGCAAGCATGCAGGAGGAGGGCTGGTGAAGAGAGCAATGGGGCAGGCACTCAACTCAGGAGGAATCAGACAGAGGGCCCATCCCAGCACAGGGCCAGCACAGCCAAGCAGAAAACCTGCATATTTCACCTAAGAGGCCCCTTTCTTGTGTCTGTTTCAAGTGCTGTTGGACGCACTGTGTTCCCTGGAGGCTGACACCAGAGAGTGGGAGCAGTGTGCTGAGGTTGCAGAGAGGCGCAGGAGAGAACCAGGTAGGAAGTTCAGATGGCTGTGTCAGTGGGAAGCTGTGTCCACATCACAGGTTGAAACTAGGGGCAAAGCATTGTTTTTCCCTAAGGACTGAGGGAAGATTCTGGGAAGAAGGTCTGAGCTAATGATCCTTCTGCCTTTCCCCTGTAAGGAGCTCCAGTGCTGGGCAGTGTTCCCAGTTCATTGCTCTGAGCAGGACTCAGAAACTCTGGGAGAGAAGATCCATGGAGTGCTGGTGATTGCCAAGGAAATGGAGAAGGAACACCAGACTTCAGAGAACTTTCCATGCACAGTGAGAATGTCACCTGAGCTACCTGCCTCCAGGTGTACCCATGAGCCACAGAGACAGTGGGGCTGGAAACAGAGGACCCGGGAGAACCTGACCTGGTGGGTGTGTCCAGAAGATACATTGCTGACCAGGTCAGAGCAAGCAACAAAAGACTGAAATGCAGCGAGAGTCCATCTGGAGTCCAAAGGTAAAGACAGAGTAGACAGGGACGGCTCAACCCCACAGCTCTGGTTCAGGCCTCAACAGCATCCTCAACAGCAGCCTCAGCCATGATGAGAGAGATCTGGAAGCCTTCACAAATCACCCCAGCTCTAGTGTCTGATTGTACACATTGTTTCAAACTTGAGTTGTTTGATCTGTATTCTTTCTCTCTCAATCTCTCTCTCTCTCTCTCTCTCTTGCTCTCTATAATCTGCCTTGTACATAGTGATGCTAGAGAAGCTTGCTTGAAACAGAGAGGATTCACATTCCAAACAAGGTAATTTCATATTTTGTGTGACTTCCCCTTCTGTAAACACCTAGATGTCCCTCCAAATCAGCTTGCTCTTGTCTCCACCCCCACTGAAACATTATCCTGCTCTACTGCTTCATAGGAGCCCTGGGAAGCCTGTATGCATCTTGTTCTTCACTTTGCCCCAGGGCATCCAGCCATGTGCAAGGTGAGTCTGACCTACTGAGTGTCCTTTGAGAAGACCCAAGGTGAGGTCTGAAGTGTTTGCCACTGGAGTCCAGAGAAGGAGCCAGTTACAAGTATTTCAGGGGTTGATGGGAAAACCCATGAGATCCCATGATCTGACAGGGTGGGCTTTCCACTGGGAGGCCCACGGTGACTTGCCACGTTCCCACCAAGCAGAAAGACGCAGAGAGCCTCAAATGTGGTTAAAGAGGAACTGTATTCCTCCAGCTCCTGATCCCACTCTCTAGTGCAAACTATTTGGCTTTTTCTCAACAGTTTTACCACAAAGTGGGGACCTAGCATGCACAGGTCCTTGCCATCTCTGCCTCTGCTGCTGCTGCTGCTGCTGCTGCTGCATTATCTCCATTGCAGGCTGGGAAAGGCCAGATGCTTCTGATACCAACATGTGAGAATTCCAAAGCCTCGTGCTGTGGAAACTGCAGAAAACCACCAGGAACATCACTCAACATGGAACCAGGCCCGAGGCCAGCCTCATATGCAGGAGCCTGGGAAAGAGCCACCTTTCTAATCACAGACACCCTGAGTGGAAGAGGGGCACACAGGTGATGCCTTCCTGGCTCAGGTCATCGGCAATGGGTGGTCAGTCACTGGGTGATGCATCACTGAACTCTTTGTAATTCTTACCAAACCCCTCCTTATTCCAGTCTCCCTGACAGAAGAGGCTCCTGCTGACTAACAGGGAAGTAGAGGCAGAGCCAGAGACACACATGTGAATGGACTGAGAACAAGAAAAGAAAACTTGTTCTGATCCTGGGAGCTCCTAACACCTTACCCTGACCCCTTTTCAAGGGAGATCACTGTCTGAGGCAGCTTGGAGAACTTCCTCACTGAGGGCAATTCCTCTCTGTTTTGGCAGAAGGAGGAAGGTGCTTCTCTAGTCCCCTCCATCCACCGCCTCTATTGCTGTGTGCATGCAGCACGGAGTCTCATCTGATCTTACTGTCCCTTTGGTCACCTAGGTGCAGACACCATTTCCACAGTAAGAAGACTCAAAGATGGCCAGACATACAAAATACTGACAGTCACTTTGGGGGCTCTCTATGTTTGTACCACCTACAGCAGTGACATCAACCATTATCTGCAGAACAGAACCGTTTTCAAAGGACCCAGATTTTGAAAGCCAAGTTAATGATCTTATTATGTATTGTGTGCCTGGGTAAAGATCAGTCAGCCAGGATGTGCAGAGAGAGCTGGGCACCACATTGTGCCTGCAGAAGTGTTACCAAGAGTGCCACACACAGGAACCCAGGCAAAACTTCTGTATCTGCAATACAAAGCTTATTCTTTTCCTTTCAAAGTAAATCTTATTGTATATTTAAGCCCCAAGTGCCAGTATTTCATGATACATCAGGTAATCATACAATTTCCCCAGGTGATGAGAACCACTGTGATTCACAATAATCCACCACAGTCACTGTGTCGAGAAGATCTCTGATTTCTTTTTTTTTCAGGTTGAGAGAGCATCCCTCCACATGGAATGGGCTCCCAAAGTCCATTCACACGCCAGGGATAAATACCGGTCTATTACCAGAGGTCCCATAGATTTCTGAGGTCTCCTCACTGACACCCACGTTCAGGGGGGACTGAATCAGTCCCATGCTGGCCTCCCAGCCATCAGTCTGGAGGTCCATGAGTTCCCCATTGTTCAGGTCAGCTGTTTCTGTGGGTTTCACCAGCTCAGTCTTGACCCCATTGTTCTTCACTCCTCCCTCTTTGCAACTGGATTCCAGGAGTTCATTAAGTGTTTAGCTGTAGGGAGGGTCCCTAATCACAGGTACTGCTGACCACGCCCACAGGTATGCAACAGGGGTTTAAGAAGCAGGGAGAGGGGCACTGGGCTCTCTTGATAGGCTGAGTGAACTAGGAAGTATTTCTGGGTCCGTCCTTGTGTATTTTCCTATAATAAGCTGTCATTATTAACCTATCTCTGACTACATCTTGTATTCATATCTGGTGTCAGGAGATTTGGGACTGAATTTGAACCCACAGGTGGGTCGTGACCTGGGGAACTAATATTAACCCAGCCGGTGGCTGGCAGGGTTTGGGGTTTATCACCCTGCCAATCGGCGCTTGGGTAACCTTCCTCTTCCCCTCCCACTCCATGGTGAGAAACATCCAAGAGCACTCCTCGCCACCAAGCCTCTCCCGCACCACCCGCTCACACTGAGAGGAACCCTCTGCCGCCGCCTTCGACTCTGTGCTGGTCACTGTTTTCAGTCCTCAGGTGTTAAGGGACTCGGCCTCCCTTGTTGCCACTGCGGTGATAGCGACCACCATTACTGCTGTCACCCCGGGGGCTTCAGTCTGTCTCCCAGTCCAAGTGTGGTTTCTGCCCTGTACCTTCCGTGGGTTGTCCCAACCAGAGGCCCCTCTCTGCCCGATCCGCCACCGTGGCCACCGAGTGGGCAGTCCATAGCGCCAGATACGGCTTCCCTGCCCTGCCCTGCAGGTTTCCAAAGCCCTTCCTTTTAACAAAGCCCATCCCGCCTGTCCGTTCTAACTGGGTCTGAAAGCCATTCAGATATTTTGCAGATGGTTTTGAGAAAAAATTAACCATCTGCAGCTAAACTCCGTTTCACAGTACACCTGTGCCACCACAACCGGCCGCCTGTGCCACCTGCTGGTCAAACATAGCTACTGCGAGCTAAAAAGGTAAAACCTTGTATTTAACCTGGTAATAATAACTAAGGTTTATTACCCTGTAACAATGGCAGATAATCTGACAATGCAGACC